GCGGGAACAGGAGGGGACAGCGGGGACAGCGGGGACAGCGGGGACAGGAGGGGACCGAGGGGACAGTGGGGACAGCGGGGACAGAGGGGACAGAGGGGACAGGAGGGGACAGAGGGGACAGAGGGGACAGCGGGGACAGCGGGGACAGAGGGGACAGAGGGGACAGAGGGGACAGAGGGGACAGGAGGGGACAGAAGGGACAGCGGGGACAGGAGGGACAGAGGGGACAGCAGGGACAGGAGGGGACAGCGGGGACAGAGGGGACAGAGGGGACAGTGGGGACAGCGGGGACAGAGGGGACAGAGGGGACAGCGGGGCTCACCTCGGGCCAGAACCTCTTCCTCCACGTTGTCATCCTCGCTGAAGTCGATGTAGGCCTCCAGGTGGGCGAGCGCCTGATGTTGGGGTGAGAGTCACCCTGAGCTGGTGGCCACCCAGGGGGCTCGGTGGCCACCCAGGGGGCTCGGTGGCCCCCGGGCGGGCTCGGTGGCCCCCGGGCGGGCTCGGTGGCCACCCAGGCAGCTCGGTGGCCCCAGGCGAGCCCCACCTGGGTCAGGGCGTGGCTCCAGCGCTGGTAGAGCCGGCCCAGGTCCCCCTCCATCTGCCGCAGCGCCTGGCGCCGCTGCGCCTCCGTCTCGGCCCCGATCAGGTCCCGCAGCCCCTCGGCCGCCGTCAGGTCCAGCTTGCCGTGGGCGAACGCCCGGCGGGTGAACTCGCCCGGCTCGGCCGGACGCAGCCCCGGCAGGCGGCCTGGGGAGCCGGCGGCCAGAGGGGCATGGGCGGGGAGGGGAAAGGGAGGGAGGATCAGCCCGGACCCCATCCCAAAGGGAGGGGAAAGGGATGGAGGATCAGCCCGGACCCCATCCCAAAGGGAGGGGAAAGCGATGGAGGATCACCCCGGACCCAATCCCAAAGGAAGGGGGAAAGGGATGGAGGATCAGCCCGGACCCCATCCCAAAGGAAGGGGAAAGGGATGGAGGATCAGCCCGGACCCCATCCCAAAGGGAGGGGAAAGCGATGGAGGATCAGCCCGGACCCCATCCCAAAGGGAGGGGAAAGCGATGGAG